ATGAGGTGGAGGACAGAGTGATGGGACTTCCCTTCACTGGATGTCTGCTGTAAAACTTTGAGTGACAAGAAGCCCCTCCCACTGTAACATTAAGTCCAGTCCCTGGTGCAGTGTGCTAAACAACACTAAACTTAAGCCTGAATTATGTAATAAAGGAAGGAACAAGGGCTTGACTGTGGCAAGTATAAAGTCTACATGGGTGAAAACTGGCTTCTATCACATTTCTGGTGTGGGTGTATGCAGCTGTTACCAAAATATGGGGGGCTAACTGTTCATAAATAAGTAGCAGGACTTCCAGGCACTCTGGATTTAGTGTTTTCAGGCATACTCAGAAACCCTAAGACTTGATGTCATGCCAGGTCATTTCATCAAGCTTCAAAAATGGCTTTAGATTTCATCAAACAAACTCACAGCTACAGACCACAGTAGTCCTGCACAGAAGTGCAGTCCTGGTACTACTGATGACTTGTACTGACACTAACTTTTAGTTTCTTGTTAACTTCATTTTGCAAGTACTTAGCCAGGGTGTCCAGTCCCCATGTTTTTCTTGTATGCAATATTACTTACCCCATAAATGAAAGAAGCTCATGACCTCTTTGGCAAGGCATGGTAAAAACTAATCAGCCTTTCCTTCACTTTGGTTATCTCTATTTCACCTTTACAATTTTGCCATACTGGTAGAGCCCCTGTATTCTTTATTATTTACATTCTTCTTTTAAATCTACTTTTTTAACTTGAGTAAGAGTTATTTCTAAAGGAAACAAATTTCTTTAAACTACTAACATGAATAGAAAGCTATAATCACAACCAGATAGAAAAGATAAATGTAATAATAAACATAGCATTATTAAATTTTACAAAAAGGCAATCCAAAAGAAGAAAATTTTTAAGGATTAACTTTCTCACTATGATTCAATGTGAAAGTTGCATTCTGGCAGTATCACTTAAAATCATCTCTAATCATGCTGGTGATATGTACCTTAAACCTTGGGGAAAAATTGAAATAAATGGATAATAATATAGTACTGTCATAAAAGTCAAATTACAGAACAGACTATAAAATTCAAATTACTAACCCTTCTGGCAGTGTTCATGATTCAAGAAAGTCTGCCTAGATTCTTGGATAGCAAGATGGTACTACGAGGTAATATCTCTTCTTACAAATCTAGAGCTCATTTCCTCCAATGGCTAAGAACTGGACAGAGAAAACAGAACCCAAGAAAAAAAGTGTATGCTCTTTACCTCGGGAATCTGAGCATAATTTGAAGCCCATGTGCTTTCTGTGAAAGCTTCACAACATAACTCAAATACCAATGTAATGTACTTCAAGCATCCTTTAATCTATGTTCAGAGGAAACATCTAGTTTCTTTATTCCACATATGGTTTTCTATTTGCCTGATTAAAAAATAATCCACCACTTCATACAACTGATAAGGGACTTATATCAAAGAGTTTACACAACTCAACAAAAACAGAGTAAACAACCCAGTCAAAAAATGGGCAGAAGAGCTAAAGACACTTCTCCAAAAAGGAAATGCAAATGGCCAACAGGCACATGAAAAAAGCCTCATCATCACTTGTAATCAGGGAAATGCAAATCAAAACCACAATGAGATACCACCTCACACCAATAAGAATGGCCCACATTTAAAAAAACTAACAACAACAAATAGTGGCAAGGATGTGGAGAAAAAGGAACCCTCTTAACATTGCTTACCCCATAAATGAAATAAGCTCATGACCTCTTTGGCAAGGCATAGTAAAAAAAAACTAATCAGCCTTTCCTTCACTTCAGTTATCTCTTAACATTGCTGGTGGGAATGCAAACAGGTCCAACCACTATGGAAAGCTATGTGGAGGACCCTCAAATTATTAAAAAAGGATCCACTATATGACCAGCAATTTCACTCCTAGGAATCTACCCAAAGGGCACAAAATATTAATTCAAAAAGTTATCTGCACTCCTATGTTTACTAAAGCACTATTTGTAATAGCTAAGATATGGAAACAACCTTAATGCCCAAAAATGGATGACTGGATCAAGAAAATGCAGTGTCTATCCACAGTAGATTACTCAGCAATCAAAAAAGATAAATTCATGTCATTAGCAACAACATGGATGGAGCTGGAAGGGATTATGCTCAGTGAAATAAGTGAGAAGGAAAACGAAAAATATTGGATGCTATCACTTATTGGAGGAATATAGGAAAACTATACAAAGGAACAAAAAAAAAAAAGACAAAACTTGTAGGCAACTATAGATCTAAGGCTTAAAAAGCAGGGGAGTGGGAAGAAAAGGAATCCAAACAGGAGTGGAAGAGCACAAGGGACCATGGTGATGGTTCACAGATGATGTGATGGTCGATATTTATAAGGACTACACCTGAGGGGAGAAGCCAAATATTGTACAAAAATGAACAACGTAAGAAAATTACAAGATTAATAAAAGAAAAAAAATAACCCACTAAGTACTAAGTTAGGACATGAGTTTCAGTCACTTTCCTCACCTCTCACTGGATTTTTACAGGTGGCAGGACCCTGTTCTACTCCTTCATAGAACAAGTCCCAGCACCTTGGGGGAGTTGGGGAGCTGCCCAAAGTCACTTGGGTGCTGAGTGGGGAGATCCTAGGTTTTGACCCAGGGTCCTCTCTCCCAAGCACCTAATCATTCTGGAGAAGAGACAATATGCACTGTGTTCATCCCAAGTCTCTACTTTTACCTCAGAAAAGGTCCCCACAGCATACACATAACCCACAAACATTTCCCTCTTTCTCCCTAAGCGCACACTCTTTTTCTAAGACAACACAAAATTCCCTTGACTTTATGTCTGAAATATAAAAAACCAAAGCCACAAAAGTCAGTGTTTAGAGATTCTCTTCTTGACCTAGAAAATGACTATTAAAAACTTAGAGAGGCTTTAGGAAAGAAACATGAAATTTGTCTTTCCTCCCTCGTTTGAACAAGGGAACATCAGGAAAGGTCTAATTTTACTCCAGGAATCAAAGTTCCCCCTCAGCATTCCTAAAAGAGCCTGATAAGGTGGAAACTCTTCTCAAGAATCTGATTACTGCAGAAAAGGTCAAACAAGGAAAGGAAACTTTTTCATGTCCTGACACTGACTGCAGTGGAGGTTTAGCTTCTTTTATCAACATGCTGGAAGGTATAAAGGGACACAGGGAAGAGGCAAACAGATGCCACAGGAGGAGCAGAAGCCAAAATGTGCATGAGAGAGACTACAACAAATTGGATGTGGAGAGGACACTTCCAAGAGAGTAGGGCAACAGGGAGGGAAAAAAGAGAACCCACAAACAGAAGCAGACACACCCTAAGGCAGAAATCACAAAACCCAAAGATGGTGTCAGATGTGAACCCCACGCCAATGCTTTGGGACTATCTATCAGTTCCACCCCCATCCTGACAATTAATTTCTCTTTATACTAAGCAGATTCGAGTTTCCCACAACCAAATAAGACACTCTGTAACAAACTCCCCAAAATATTTTTTCTTCTTTTTCTAGTGATGTCAAGGTAAGAAATAATTCTTAAGAAAAATTCAAGTGCACTCTCTGTCAAGAACATACGGCTTGGCCTAAAGACAGTTTCCAACTTAAGGGATCTGACAGATGTCAGCAATTTAAAAAGAGGAAAGCTGTTTTTCTTTACCATGTTTTCAATCAAATACCATTTATCACTGCTGAATTATAACCATGATCTGCAGAAAAATACTGCATCTGGGCTCTGGGGTTTCTGTGGAAGACATGGGCCTGAAAGACCCAAACCTGAAGTTCATCGAAAAGAAATGTAAATATTTCTGTAGGAAAGCAAAAACAAAACTGGTGTGTGATATCAGAAAAAGAAAAGATTATCATTTTTATAAATAAGTGAGAGCATATTAGGGTCTAACCTGAAAAAAATTAGTGTCATTTCCTCACAAGAACTGAATTCTATCACTAAGGACAGGACAACTGGGAGCTGCCACTTTAACTAAAAGCAATTAATCAAACAAAGATGCTGCACAAGCAGGGGTGGCAGCCCACTTTAGGGTGATGTCAGAGCCATAAAACACAAGGCTAAACCAGGGTACCCATTAAAAGTGAGAGGTTAAGGGCCTCCCTGGTGGCACAGGTGGTTGAGCGCAGCGCTGTGAAGCTATCCGCAGCCTCGGCAGTGCCTGTTCAATCCCCACCGGCCTCGGAGCAACCCACATAGCACGGCAGACCTCTCCTGAGCAGTGTATTTCATCAGTCTGCCTGTTCTGTTCCCTGCTCTGTCTCTGGTGAATCCTCTCACCCTCCCGCGCATCTGGCCTGTACCCCGGTTCTTGTATAAATAAAATAAATTTTTAAAAAAAGTGAGAGGTTTAACAGGATATAAATACAAAAACCCTATTAGAAATTCAATATAAAGGATGCAACATTATAGTGAAATCTGGAAATCAATATATATTCACAATTCACAATTCACACACAATCAAGTGGCTAGAACTGCCTAACTGGAACTGTATTAAAATGACAGAAGATACCCTGTTTACCGTAGGGAGAGATTCTCACAGCACTCCCTGCAACTGAACCACAGCCAGAAGAAATCAGTCCTTCCTCAGAACAGCTCCCCTCATCTCAACAGCCACCAGACACTGGACCAATGACCACACCAGCCTGCAATGCCATGTTCAGTCAAACTGGCATTTGGGGCAGTGGGGAGAGACCAGGGGTGAGGGAAGAAGACTAGGGCACATGATTTCCAAGCCAAGTCTCTACCCTATGAGTCAGTTCAAACGAACACTGATACCTAAAAATGGTTAAATTCTTTGGGTGGGACAAATACTTACAAGTTAACTAAACTATTCAACAATGTCATTAATCTCATCCCAAAATTTACACACAGTTTTCTCATAACCATCAGGAAATCACCTCCAATAAAATTTATCCAGTTAGATTTACTACAAATCACCCCAGCATCAGAAGATACAAATGGATAATGTAAGAGGAGTCTTTCTTACCATTCCGGGACACATCGAGTTCCACCAGCTGCATGAAGTTTGCTATTTCTGGAGGGAGCCGCTGAATTTCATTATCACTAAGTCCAAGCTTTCTTAATTTGACCAGCTGGAAAAATTGCTGAAAGACAAAATAGTTTTACATAAGTCTCATAAGTAAAATAAATGCTTTACCCAATATGAAATTCAAAAAATGTGATTTCTAAAAATAAACAAATGTATATTAGTGAGGACTGCACCAATATCCATTTCCTGATTCTGATATTATACACTACACTCATACAAAGATGTTACTACTGGGATAAACTGAGTAAAAAGGATATCTCTGCACTATTTTTGCAACTTCCTATCAATCTACAATTACCTCAAAATTAAAAGATTTTAAAGATGAGTAAGGTACTCAACAAGAATAGCAATTACTTCTTTAAACTATCCAGTAGGTGGTCATATTTTCTACTTAATGAAATTGATGTTAAATCGGCAATGTTAAATAAAACATGTGAAAATATGTTTTTGAAAGACATTTTTAAAAGGCATTACTGTGCATCATAAAATACATAAATACCCTACAAATATCTGGAGGAGAAAAATTATTTTTGAGCAATCTAAAAAAAGAATCTGTATAGGATACTTCCATTAACCATGACAGAATGAGCACAGTCATTGAGCTACTTTTTCGTTTAAGTCTTTCAAACTGTACTAAATAAATAACACTAAAGAAATGGAGAGATATGTATATGAGAGAAAGTGTGTAGAAAAAGTGCATGAAGACAAGTAAAAATAAGGACATGGAGCAAATGAGCTAATCAAAAAGTTATCTTCCTTGCACTTTTGTCGAGTCCATCAAAATGTGAAGGAAATAAAAGGAAGAGAATTGAAGATCTAGAAACCTGTGAATCAAGAAAAGTGATACACACACAAAAGTAATTGCAAGGATAAAATAAAGAGAGTACAAAATGTCAACATGGCAGGAGGTCCTACAAGCAACCAGTCCACTCTGCAGAAAATAGTAAGACTCCCAGAGGAAGTTTTAGACAACAAATAATAAATACCTAAAGAATTATTTGATGTGTTTGGAAGCACTGAGAAAATTCACTTAGTGAAAAATTACAAACAAGAATTGAGTGAACAAGGCAAGCAAAAATGGAAAAAGTTATTAATTCCAAGAAAAATATAGTCTTAATTTTCAATATTTATATATTGATAAAATTAAAATTCATACGACATCAATATTTAGAGGAACAGAAAGAAACTACAAATACTAGAGGCTGGTTTTCTACAGAAGAAAGAAATCAATAGATAATTAAAAAGTGTGTGGAGCATGGGGTGTCAAAATGTAAAAAAGCAAGCCATTTAGCAATGCAGAAGCAAACATCAGAAGAAACAAGAGCTGTGGTCCTCAAAAGCTGGAGGGGAAAAAAGGGAGGTCAAGAGACTGATGTTCTTCATTGTCACACCACACAGCTTACTGGAATTTTTAAGAACCAACTGCATTTACTACTTTGCTAAAAACAGAAACTGAATTTACAAAGGAAAAAGACTCTACTAAGATCACAGTGTGCTCCAAACGATAACTTTATACAACACTAATATTTAATAAATATCCTTGTTCCTTTTTTTTTTTGATGAGGGGAGAAGAGAGTGTAAAGGGGATTGTATACTTATATAATCAAAAAGGGACCACCTTTTGTAAATCAATTGGGTGATACACAAAACACGATAGGTTTTCAATTCCACTAACATAATAATAATATTTTGGGCATCTGTCCTTGTAATATAATTAAAAATAAACTACAATGCACAGTATTACTTTGCATTGTCAATGTGAGGTATTCCAAAATATTTGCAATGCAAATAATAACATAATTAAAACTAAACTACAATGCACAGTATTACTCTGCAATGCAAATATTTAAAAATAAAACAAAATTGCAGGTATACTACGTAAAGAAGCAAGCGTGCATGTTGACAGACAGGAAGGGAACATGGGAGCAATGTGATGTTAAGGTGATAAGGAAAATGCATGAACAATTTGAAATTACTTTTAACAAAAATTATTCTAATTAAATGAGTTATGAATACCAGAGAATGAATGCTACCCATTAGCTATAAATGATAATGAAGTCATTCAACAAAAGAACTAATCCTTTGGATTTCTTTAATCATACAGTTGAGATTTATTTCTTAAAGAAACGTACTGAAATTTCTTTATGCTGGTTATACTAAAGCTTTAGCTAACACAAAACCATTCAAAGGAGCCACATATTTGAATAATTGAGCTTACGCCAATTGCTGAAAGAGTCTGACAGTTTCATAATACATCAATGTGTTTACTCAAGCATGAAAATCTCACTTTGTTTTCTAGGAAAGGCATAATAGTAACAGCTCAAAAACTATCACTACAACAATTCCATACATTCAGGGACCATTCAAGAAATCAAGTCAATAAGGTACTTAGATCTACAATGAATAATAAGTTACTTTATGTCTGCGGAAATAACAGCCTACAAATCCCCACATCCAACAGAAATCATAACTGCAAGCAATTCAAGTTTTGTTCTGCATGTTAAAAGCATCCTCAAATATAGCCTGTCACAAATACGACTTTATTCAATGTGAAAAGCACATACCAGCTATTAAAAAAAAAAAAAAAAACTATATCTGACAGCATCCCAAGACAAAAACAGGAATTCCTCAAATCCTTCCTTCATTATCCTGATGGGATCGTAATGTAAATTAGCTAGTTTTTTATGATTTTGAGACAACACTACTCAGACTTTTAAATTTCAACTTCATTAGATGGGGGAGGAGTAGAATTCAACAAGTTATAAACCTCCTACTGCCTTGTCTATGACATTCGCCAGGGCACATGAAGAACAATTCATGGATCTGTCTTGGCAGGGAGCCTCAGAGCAGAGCCATCATGTGATGGAACACACAGACACCATTCTTCAATTCTACCATGTTGGATTATAGCACCCTGGCCCACTCAGAATGCACTGTGTGCAGTTACATGAGAACAACCCCAAACTGCCCTCACATATTATGCTAGTCTTCTTAAAGTCACCACTACTTTTATCAATAGTAAATACAGGGTCTTCAAACTGGCTGAACAACACATTTCTTTTTCCCATGCTCCATTTCTGGTGACTCGCCTCCTTTTTTGTTGGAGTATAAGTACCTACCCCTCATGTTCTTTTTTTTTTGTTAAAGATTTTATTAATTCATTAATTCATTCATTCATTTATACAAGAACTGGGGTACAGGTCAGAGGCACAGGAGGGTGAGAAAATTCACCAGAGACAGCAGGGAGCAGAACAGGCAGACTGACTGAAATACACTGCTGAAGGGAGCAACGGGTGTGACAGGAGAGGTCTGCTGCGCCATGTGGGTATCTCCCTGGCCGGGTCAGGAATCAAACCCATGCTGCAGAGGCTACAGACAGCTTCACAGCGCTGCGCTCAACCTGCTGCACCACCAGGGAGCCCCCTCCCCCATCTTCTTAAAAGGGTTATAGGAAATCTCAGTCCTGAAAATTTCTTTTTTGACCAAGGATCAATTTAAAATTATTGAACAATTTAAAATTGCCACCCTATTGCCCAAACTTCTCCTTGACATATTATTCCAGAATACATACAAGAATGTAAGTATTGACAGATCTGAGAGGAATATCCTAATACTGAAATTCTAAGCAGCAATGAAAATGAAAGCTTAAACCTTTGCTATCTTCAGCAGATGAAGCCAGATATAGAAGATTACAATACTATTCCATTTACATAATGTTGAAATAATTACTAAAACTAAATTGTTTTTCTTATAGATGCATATACAGATGGTAAAAATTATAAAGAAGTATTGCCATTTATTCAAGTTAGGCAGAAAGAGTACACATTTACTGATGCAATTATTAGAAAATCTAAGCAAGGATAAGAAAGGATTACAATCAGGAAGGACATGTGATGGGCTTTGGAATCCTAGCGATGTTCAATTTCTTAACCTAAATGATTACAGGTGTTCATTCTATAATTTGTTATAAGTAATACATTTATACCTCAGGTACTTTGTGCGTGCACATGTGTGTCTGTGTGCTTTATTTCACAATAAGAGAAAATTTTACACATTTTTTAAACGGGAGGGGGTTGCTGGGCCTTTATACCTTTCTTTTTAATTTAACACTGCACTATAACATTTATAAGTTTCAGGTATGCATCACTAAAAATCAACATGTGTGTATGTTCCAGTAAGTTCACCACCAAAAGTCTAATTCTATTCAACAACTGATTACTTTAATGAGATTTCCCACACCTGATTCATTCCCTTCTCTTCTAACAGTAAGAGAAGTTTTTTCTAAGTTTTAAGCTACTTACTAATCAAGAAGGAAGATACAAAACAGCACTAAATTCTTTAACTCAGATTTAATGACAATGAAAAGCAACAGCATTCTTTTTTTTTTTTTTAAGATTTATTTATTTATTTATACAAGCACTGGGTACAGTCAGAAGCATGGGAGGGTGAGAGAATTCAACAGAGCCAGCGTGGGGAACAGAACAGGCAGACTGACGAAATACACTGCTGAGGGGAGCAGCAGACGCGGCAGGAGAGGTCTGTCACGCCATTTAAGACCCTCACCAGCAGCCTGGGATCGAACTGGCGCTGCAAAGGCTGCGGGCAGCTTTGCAGCCTAGCGCTCAACTGCTGCGCCACCAGGGGAGGCCCGAAAAGCAACAACATTCTATCCAAAGGAAAAGTGACCTTAGCGACCAAAAACAACACTATTGGTTATGATAATGTTATAACCCCTACCCTTTAATAAAGGAATTTCTACTCTGGGAAATCTGCTAAAGGCTGTAGATGGTGTAAATTTTGTACTCATTTCAATGTTGCACAATGCTGATAACCACATGTAGCAGTAAGTCTTGCTGTATAAGTAGTCTTGCTGTATAAGAAGTCCTTCCAAACATAGCTAAACAAAAACATTTTATTTTTAATTTCTCGCATTACTGTGAGATGTCTGGGCAATTCCTTTGCGTTGACCGAGCTGACTCATGTGACAATATTCAACTGAGAGTCCAAACGGCTGGAAGATCCACCCTGGCTTCACACTTACCAGGTGGTAATCAG